ACACTTCCAATAAAGTCACAAATGACTAATCTGAGCTAAATAACAATACAGACTTATGATAATGATAAAAAAATCATAAAAATTAGACTGGTGAAGTCTAATAGAGAAAACACACACAAAAAGTAGAAGAAAAATACAATACACACATCATTCGTAAGACTTTATTCATATAGATAGAAATAAATATAGACTCAATAAGTTATCCATATTCGAAATTCGAAAGCTACAAGTTTAAAGAGGAAAAACAAAAGGCACAGACCATGAGAGGGAAGTAATTGCACTAACAAATCCTATAATTTGCAAATTATGTATAACGAAGTATGCATCATATTTTCTCTAGAATAAAATATATATATATATATATATATATATATATATATATATATATATATATATATATATATATATATATATATATATATATATATATGAAACATGCGTTGCATATATATTTTCAGCTTTTATTATAAAATTTGTGTAATAAAATAATAAATCAAAAATGTATTTTAAAAGCTATGTCACTTGAGAAAATATTTGTTGTTATGATACGGAGACACCATTTAAAATTTGTGAATTCAAAATTTGAACTTGTATTGTGTTTACTCTAATTCATTACTTTAGTTATTTATTTGTAGAATAGGAATAAACTCGAAAAAACGGATAAACACAGTTACCATCTAGCAAGAAATACGTGAAGAAAATCAATATCATATAGCCCCATAATGGTATATAGAAATATGCCGATTGAATTTCATGCTCTAGATTACTATAAATGCATGTAAATACCTCTAACTCTAAATATTGAATTAACCAAGAGAATTGAAATTTAAAGACAAAAGAAATCTTAAAAATTATCAGTAACTGATCAAACAGGATGAATAAACGTCATATTTCTCGACAAAACTTGCTAACAAAGCAAAATAGATGAACATTTATCAATTAAGCCCAAATGTTTAAATTTGTTGTCTGATTTTATAGCTATTTCTTTTATAATAATAACATATCTCGTGAAATCCGTCTAGGGAGTGTAGGGTGTGCATAGACCTTACCTCAATTCAGAAGACACTCAACTTGAGTCGAGTATACCAAATCAGAGTAAATATGCAAAAAGAAAAATGACAGTGAAGAGAATATAATATAATATAACAACTATTACGAAAACAATAACAACAAAAAAAAAAGTGCAATAACCGAAGCACCATAAAAATAATTGGTGGTAGAAAGCAAAAGTAAGCAGTACAAGAATAAAAGTACTACTATGAAAGACACCACTGAGCCTAAACCCTTTGGAAAGCAAGAGAACACTCCACTACAACCTTCTACCTTAATCGGCAATCTCAATGCTTAAGCATTTTTTGTAATTGATGAAATCAGTTTCTTTTTTCTTCTGAGCTTTGAAAGGAGAATTAGCTTATGTATTTGCCAATAATAATTTTACCTCATGCACATGATATTTATAAGCCAAAAGTTTGCCTAGAATTCTGTAGAAAGCTCAAAAGTTATGTTGGAGAATGGAGAGACATTCTTAAAATGCCTTTTAAATTAAAACAACTTTTCATTTTTAGTATTTAACATAATATGATATAATTATTATTTAACATTTAATTGCTTAGATATTTTATAACATTTTGAATTAAGATAGGGGTAAAATAGTATTTCAATTTTTACTTTTGTGACTTCCCACTTTTAATATAATATGATATATGGCTAAATTAGACAAAATGTCCATTAGGTTAAAGTTTTGTACAAGGTACAATTTTTTTTATATATATTTAGGGGCTAATTAGATTCTATCTCGGAAGTTTTTCAGAGTACAAAAATCTCGAATTTTTCATTGCTCTTGGATACATTCTTTGGTTGTCCGATACATTGCAAATGATAAATTACTTAATGAGAGAGATGTATCCGAGAGGGGATAGAGATGTATCTGAACCCAACAAATTGTACCTATTAGACACTCTTTTGACTCAAATGTTTGAAAAGTTTGTGTGTGTGTTAGCGTTCAACACATAAATAAGTTAACGACTTAAAATATGTCACCTCCTTTAATTATATGCTTTAGTTTCAATAAGCCATCAAACCTTAGGTTTAGTCCAATTGAAGCCAATGTGAATATGTTAAAGCTTTGTTCCCTTAATGCAATTAGTGTTGATCGCACTAGATGCATATATAGCAAATATTGAATCCTCTTGGCTTTTTCTTTTCTGCCTTTTTTTATATTTAGGAATCTCTTGGTGACAATCCGCAATCCATCAATGACACTAAACATTTCTTGTCACGCAGAAAACGGGGCCAAATGACAAGGGAAGACCTACCCCTTTGTTTCTTCACGGAGTATAGCTCACCATCCAAACATCTGATTGGAAAGCAACATCAAATGACTAGTTGATTGAAATCAGCTCAGTTAGGGTGTCTTCCTGTTAATATTTGACTATCATAGACACCGCGAAGATCAACAAAAAACGAACCTTACACAACAATACCAGCCCAACAATACAACATTTTTATGTCCTCTTCTGCACATATAGTAGATACAGGTACATTCATATGTTCATATGTTAGTACAGAATGAACATAATGTTCATGATGGTGTTATACATGTTGAGAACCATCCGAATAACGGGCAAGTACACTATATATATCCCTATCTCCATACAACAACGTTTCGGGAGTCTTAAGCCCACAGCCAATTACACAAGTGATAGGCATCAAGTACTAGTTACCAAATTGTCGACCAAGGGCAAAATACGCGATGTATAAGGCAAAACCTCTTCAGGAAACCCGATATCCTTGAGGAATTCCGGGATGTCATGAGCTGAGTATGTAACATTAGGGGTAACAACAAGTGGTGTTTTAGTGTTAAAACACTTTTGGAGAAGGCAAGAGCCACATGTTACTTTCAGAACTCCTCTGTTCTTCCCTTACTAGTGTGTTACCAGAAGCAAAAGTGAGCATTTGCATAACTGTTCCTTCCCATGGTGTGTCCAATGCTATCAATCAGACTGCCTGTAACTACTCGGATTCCGAACGAGTAGTTACTGGACATATAAACCTCCTAAGCTGTGAGAAACAAGAATAACAGGTTTACCTCCATTTGAATTGCTTGCACTTTCTATCAGTTCAAGTCCTCGAGACATTTCAAATCAACATGTCTTGGATGACCGTCTGCAGCTAAACCATAACGAAAATCGTATGGTGCTCCAAACAGATTTTTTCCATTTCTATAGCCTACTTCTTCCAAAGCCTTCACAAGTGGCTCCATATATGCTGTAATTTTCCTAAACATGTTAAAAGTAAGTTACTACAAGGAATTTCTGGATGAGTTATTGGCTGAAACAAACTGAATTTCTTGAATCATACGTTACTAGTATGGCGTTGTAAGATAACACCATACTGGCAACATATGACATTTTGATCAATCCAAGGCATATTTTTTTTCTTTTTTTGTAATGGTATCAGGCTAACTTGTATGTGCTTCAACTGGATAACAAGATTGTGCATTTTCAACACTAAGAATAATAAATAATCTAGAAGGTGATAGACTAGAGGGGTTCTTGACATCATCTATCGGGAACTTAACAGAACTTGTCTCTCTGAATCTAGGCAGGAACAAGTTTAGAGGACCAGTGCCAGAGAGTATTACTTATTTAAGGAAACTTACAAGTCTTCAACTTTCTGAGAATTTTTTCTCTAGTAGTCTTGTTAATGACATTGGTGTCCTTACAAAACTTGAAATTCTTGATGTCGCGAATAATAAGCTATCTGGTTCAATCCCTTCATCGACTACATCACTTAGAAGTTTGACGCGATTAGACCTGTCTAACAATGAATTGACCGGGAAAATTCCTCAACTCAACGGTTTATGGAAACTCCATTCATTTGACATTTCCAATAACCAAATTTAAGGGAATTTGCCACAACTTCCATCGAAGATCAAGACATTGTCACTAAGCCACAACTTGCTATCAGGACACATTACCACAGTGCATAAACTTAGACATCTAAGAACATTAGACCTTAGTGAAAACAGATTTTCAGGAGGAATAAACAAAGGGATCTTCATGTTACTTGAATTAAGTCACGTAAGCATTTCAGTAAACCGGTTCACAGTGTTTGAGGTGGTAGAATTCTCTGATAAAGAATCACAGCTTCACACGTTAGACGTAAATGCCAATCGTCTACATGGTCATTTGCCTGTGAACTTGGATACTTACCCAAACTTAACAGAAATAAACCTTGGGCATAACCTGTTTTCGGGTGAGATTCCATCGGAATATTGGTCAAGACTCAGGTTTTCATGGAGAAGTCTCAACTTGGAATATAATAACCTGGAGGGATCGGTTCCTCGAGAGCTCAACAGGACTTTAGAAGGGGTTCAGGGAAGTTTTGAACACAACTGTCTCATTTGTCCAAAGGGCTTTCAGCTATGTCATGGACAGAGGACAGCTTCAGAATGTCATGGAGGAGACCATAATTAGCTGAGAATGTTTTAAAAATTACATTGCATTTTTTTTAATGTTTTCCCAGTTTCCAATATAGTTTATAAGTTGCATTTTTTTTTTATGTTTTCGTAGTTTCCAATATAGTAGAAGTTCCTTAAATTTGTCAGTATATTTTATTTAGATACTTGAACTACAACATGTTTCCTATTAAGCACCTGACATGATGAACTGTGTTAGAGTTTTGCCCTGAATGTATGATATTATCAGTTATAGCAAAGTATATTTGCATAACAATATTGAACAAGAGTATCAAAATTGGTTTAAGTATACGACATGAGCAAGAGTATCAAAATTAACTACTGAAGCAACATGTAAGCCAACGTTTTAAGTGCGAGCTTGTTTTAAGTTCAACTATAAGTGAGCTTGTTTACTTTGTTGGTTCCAAGATTAGATAAATTCTCATAATTTATGGTGAAGCAAGGTTGCTGCAAAGAAAAGTGATTCACTCTCAACTACCTTACTAACATAAAGTCATTCTTTATTTTCTTAAACTCCATGTCAACTCAAAATACATCAAACAAATTTTAAACGGAGGAAGTACCATACTACTAGTAACTGGAAAAATCAAAACAAGCTATAATGAAAGTTGTTTTAATTGCTAAAGAAGCTCATGAAGACAATGACATTACAACTCATTTCTGTTGCCTAGTCTAATAAAAACAATATTTGCCACCTAAAGATATATTTTAGCAGAATTGCATGTCTAAGAACTTAAGTACCTTTTTCAGGGGAAGATGCTGGGAAGAGTCCTTTACAAGCATCTGTATTCCACAAACATGAAATCAAAAGAGCAAGTCAGGCCCGAGACTACAAGCTGCTGTATTTCAAAGCATCTCAATGGATTAGAGAAAAACCTTGACCCACGAGTGTTAAGCTAGTAATATTATAGCTATTGACAGAAGGCTTGAAAATTGTACTACTTATGTAATGATATGTGTAATTCATTGTTATTTCATACTCGTTCATGAGTTTTTGAAGTTGAGAAAGAGATTCTGAAAGTAACTAGTGACTGAAGATTTGAGAATAGCAATTCACACATTTTTTAAGAGCGGGAATTGTGTACAAAAATGTACTATTTCTTCTAAAGTAACGTCTGCATTTTGGAAGAAAATCTCACCTCCTATATGTGTCCGAGTGTTCCTTTGCTGTCAAATGGGGGCATCCCGTACAGAAACTCAAAGCATAGGACACCAAGGCTCTAAATGTCCACACTTGCATCATGCTCCACACTTTCCACTGCATGTTCAACAATTAACATATCAGAAAAAATGTAAAAACAGATTAACAAAATGTTAAAAGCTAAACTCTCATACACGCCCATGTGAAGGTAAAAAGCAATGTATAACATTCACACATAGTCCGCCTTCGATTAAAGGTATGCACTGACCACCCAAAGTCTGCCGTTTTGAGTTCACCCTAAAAGCAGAAATATTAAAGCTGTCATTTTACTGCAATGCATTGTATATACTGTTTAGCAATGCTAAGTTTGTACCTCAATATCTTCTCTGTGTATTGTGTGATTCCCATGACAGTATATTGAAAGTTCGTAAGAATTGAGAAGAAGCAATGCAGAAGAGGCAACGACAAGTTACCGGGTCATAAAAGTAACCATAAGTATTTCAACTTCACGACGAAGCTGATGTTCAACCAGGGACTGTTTTAGCTGGCTCTTGAACAACACTTTTAACGCGACGATATGATTGCTATGTTTCCAAGAAACAACTAACCTTAGTATTGGAATGTGATTGTAGAATGTTAAGTCTATCGAATAGAATTCGAAAAATCTTTTAAGCCATGTCCACAAGATATCATCCCCAACCTCCCACCAATCCATAGCAATTATAACAAATATGTTGAATGAGAGATTCTCACTCGCAGTGCATAAATCCGAGGCATTGAAAAAGTAAGTAGGTTTATCAGCCATTCTTAACATGTAAAGGTTTAAAGGACTTACATACATGACCGAACTTTCCTCATCCAAGAGGCTTCCCAATGTTGAAATCATTAAGTGTCCGCCTCTTTTTATTAGCCTCTGATGAAGTCTGCAGAAGTTGAAAATTCTATAGTCCATTTAAAAGATCAGTTAATTAAAAATAACAATAAATTCTTGTTGTTGTTGTTGTGTACAGTATAACAGATCAGTTAATTAAAAATAACAATAACTTGTTCTTTTAATTTCATGATAACATATGGTTATTTCACATCACAAAGTTGTACGATCCAGCTGAGCAAGAATCAAGATGCTCTTTTGATTCCATTTAGTGCGGGAAGAAGATATGTCAAGGAAGACAATTTGCTTCAAAAGCTCCAAGAATCAGGCTTAAATGCATTGGTAGAAGATTATCTCAATTAACTGCACCTCTGTTCATACAGTCCTCTTAGAGGACTTCATGAACAAGCAATCAACCACAAGTGATCGCAACTAACATACAAGCTTAAACTCAATCAACAATGTGTACAACAAATTTTAACTAACCTCAACATTCTTCCTTTAGCAAGGTGGTACGCTTGTGAAACTATCAAGTACAACTCAACTCAATCTACATACTAATTTATTATAAGCTCAAAAATAACCAAACACAGTGAGGTCAGAGCATGTTACTAGAAATTTTATTTTTCTTTACGACAGAAACAAACATTGTTGTAGTGAGACAGAAATTTCTTTACCACAATATATATTCTTTTTCCTTTATGCTAGAAAAACAATTACTTCAAACAAAGCAGAAATTTGTGCTACCCAAGATTATAATAACTTAAAACATGGACCTCCTTAACCTTGTACAATAGTAAAAAAAAAAATTATCTTTTGTAGGAAGACATTAAAACCACGATTTCTTAAGCTTCTTCATACTGAAACCTAGTCCAAGCATTTTTTTTTACTATATTATAAAGAAAAACCATACCTCAAGAACAGACCAAGCTTTTGGAGAAAAGAAAAAACATATCCACGATTTCTTTTAAAGACAAAAGATGAAGCATGAATGACCCGAATGTGAGTCATTTGGTCCCCACCCCGAGGCAAGCCCGCCCATCCCTGAGCAGGCCTCGCCCCCACCTCACCACCACACCGCTCCCCCCGGCAGGCCCACCCAGCGCAGTC